TTAAAAGCCTATTAGAGCTTATTTACTATTTTTTTTTATTTATTGTGCAGATTTATTTTCTGAATCCAATGATGTATATGAACTTGACTTTTGTAAAGCATTTATTACAGAAAAGACGACAAAATGTTAGTCGATACCGCATTCGAGCAAAGCAATTAAAACTCAAAAGAGAATTTTGTAGTTAACAGAAAAGAAACAATACAATAAATATCAAATAAAAGAAAAACAATTTAATTAAATACATTAACCATTATACAAAGTTCAACATGAAATAACATTAATTAAATACAAGACACATTAAATGAAGAACAACAAACACAAAACAACTAAAGAAACAAATTGTAGCCGTCGTACTCTATCGTTTTCCTCTAATGCCTGTACTTTTTGAGGAATGTTACTAGAAATTTCCCGAATGGAAGTTCTTGGGTTTCTTCAACGTTAAGAAGAACATTGAACTCGATGTTTTCATTAAATTGGCATTCTGCTCGCTTTGGTTTCTTAAAAACACCATAGTTCCTGAAATTTTCTTGCAAGTCTTACAAATCTACGTGGTTCTGGAACTTCTCTGTGAGGAAATAGTTCTCTGTAAAGGCGGACTCCTGCACCACGATTTTTATTACACCGAAAGTATACATGAATCATGTTCGTCAATTGATTAATACACATATTTTGCTTTGTTGAGCTTATTTCAATAAATAACCTACTGTAAATGACACTGAAAGAGTATAATACGTAAAAATCTGGGACACTATTATTTTTTGTTTTTCAGGCATACATGATTGGTCAAAATATGTTTGTTGTCAATTAATATATACATCATTGAATTCAGAATAGAAATCTGCACAATAATAAATAAAAAAAACATATATTGCCATTTGAAAAAAAAGTTGATTATCGCTTTTCAAAAAAATAATAATTACGTTCCAATAGGCTCACTCTATACAGTGGCGGTTTTACCATAAGAGCTGCGAAGCTGCAGAACACATAAAATTTTATGTATTTAATCATATTAAATATCAACAAAATATTTAAAGAATCCAAATGTACTCGCGCTAAAATAAATCTAGGAGCTTATATTATTATTTATTGCGACGCGAGCTACGCTCCTTAATATATGCAACCTCATATACAAAATGTGTGCACAGCGAACAATTAGATGCGTCCTTTGTTTTTATTGGCTAATCAGGCACGTGACCCAGTACACGAAGATAGGGGCTTTTGCGGCTGCAATAGCGACAGCCACTGCGCTGCAGTAAATGCAGTAATATTTCGTACGTGGTATGTGGTGGTTTATTTCTGCGAGCGGCACGTGTGAATATTTTCGTTTAGGCGTCTACGGATATTATAGTTATTAAAATGAATAGCGTTTCGTTTAAAAAAAAACTTTATTTGGTTCTCTGCCTTATGAGGATAAACTAAAAATAAAAGAAGTAAAAGTTATAAAAAAACAATAATGTATACACAAAAGCAGAGTGGGTGTGCGGGTGTGATTTAAAATATTCACTGTTTTGTTTTCCGTGCTTACTTTTCGGTGGGGATAAAGCATGGACAATATACAGTGTGAAAGATTTAAGTCATTAAGTCTTTAGGTAAAATAAACATAAGAAGTCAGTTAGATTCTGCATATTGGGATAATATACGGAAACATATGAACAGGTAATGAAAAATCGTCATGTATTATTTAAAATCATAGATTGCATAAAATTTTGCGGAGCTTTCGAATTAGCACTTCTCGGACACGACGAGACAGAAAATTCGGACAACCCTGATGTGTTTCGTGGACTCATAAATTTTAGTGTAGATCTTGACGACATTTTAAAAGAACATCTAGCCACATTGGTATGACCGGGATTTTCTGTGATTGTACCGGGAATTAGCTGTATGGTCCCGGATTTCGGATTTGCACGTATAACTCCCGGAATATAATATAATGTACATATATATAAAAAAAGATAAAGAAAAAATCATAACACGCCGAGGAAAATTAAAATTCGTTGAATCGTTGGTAAATTTCACAAACGATTTTTTTTTATAAACAATATTCAATAATTTAATAAAATATATTTAGTTTATTCCAATTTATTATACCATCAGTAGGTAATTCGTAAATGGATATTTCAAAAAGGTATCAATTTCAAAAATCATTCTTGTGAAAATCTGTATTTTTTTTATAAATTCATTGTTCCTTGAAATTCAGAAGTGCCAGGAAAACGCGTGACCTTGAAAATTTTAAAATTTTTCGCCTGCGGCGCCATTTAGAGACTCCGGGCACTTAATATCCCGGAATTCAATTCAACAAATGTAACAACCCTAAGCAGAACACATTCAATCAATGTTCACGCGCCGCCACTGACTCTATAGACAGGGTCGGAAAGTCCCCATGGTTCATCGGCCGTTACGTGAGAGCGATAAAGAAAGTCATAGAAATCCGTGCGATAGAGAAAGATGGCTATAATGAAGGCGTCTAATAGTCACCGCCCATTTTGCCCTTCCACAAATAAGATCCACTTCTTATTTGTGGAAGGGTGGAAGGGGTTTGAATATTTTTTGCTCAAAATTTGATTCTCTATCGATTTCCAGCGTTATTTTTTTTTTAATTTTCACCCCCCGAGAAGGGGTGTCAACCCCCAACAGGGTGGAAGCGTCAATCGGCGCTATGTCACTAATGTTCATTGATCTTTCCTCTAACTATGCCAAATTTCAACTTGATCGGTTCAGTATCAAAGAATTCGGAGGTGAAAAGCTTCAATGACTGTACCTACTAATAGTGTATTTAGAACCATCCCTACTAATACTACGCAGCGAAAACTACTTAACCGATGATCATGAAACTTTGTACACATATTCTTGGAGGTATTAGAAGTAACATAGGATACTTTTTATTAAAAAAAAATTATTTTTTACGAAAGATGCGAGCGAAGCCGCGGGTAAAAGCTAGTTTCATATAATTCTTTGTTTTTAAAATCAGACTAAATGACGGAATTATGGCTTGCAGCGTTTTTTTAGGAGACAGCTTGTATCTCCAAAATCATGTAAATTTATTGATTTCTACATAAAATTATTAGTTGATTCATGTTCTTACGACGTAAGTTTTAGAGTTATTGAGTTATTTAACATTCTGAAAAAAAAATGTATTTTCAGTTTTATTTTCGAATTCGCAAACATAACCATATACCTCAATTTTTAAATGAACATTAAACACATTATTTTGTGTAGTGAAGTAAAAAATAATTATTATGTGATTCACAATCAGACGGGATCGATCTGAATTACATAATCTTTGTTAGTCAAATAAAGATTATATTGTAGAAAATGTACTATCTAGAGAAATTCACAGGACAATTGAAACAACAAATTTCAATAGGTACTTACATGAAAACAGCAGAGAAAAATAAATTATTGAAAATATATACATTCTAATATTTTTTTAAATGTATAACATTCAACATATAAGGGTCACCCTAACCTACAAAAAAAGCATGATTAATTTTTATTTTTAATAGTTATAACTATTTATTTCTATTATTGCATTTGTAGTTTCTAAATAAAAAATTTGTAGTAAAAAATAACAGATGCTTAAATTTTCGAAAAATGATTGAAAAGTTACAGTTGTGTTAGTTACATTTATACAGTGTGGCTCAGAAGTAATGCTAAAACACGTCGATTAGTAAATAGGAATTGAATTGTCATTTTGTCACGTTGCTTAAACCTTTTTTGCGCTATGTTTCATAAACCTATGACGTCATCGACATTTTTTTAAATAGCAATACCTCATTTTTTAAGCATAAATGGATAGTCATTTTGAAGGGAAATACGTCGATATAGGGTTTGGCCTACTTTACTTTGACAGGAGCGAAAAAGAAGCCAATGACTGGAATGGACATGGTTTAAAATAACAACAAAAGTAGGTATCATAAACTGGTGCGAGAACAGTGCCAGGGCAAAAAATGGAAATTTGTAGATGTTTTGTGTTTTGGTTGATTGTAGGTACGTTTTTATGTATTGATATGTTGACGTTTTCGGCGATACGACGAACGGCAGTGTGTGGATTTTCAGTGACAGCTAAAAATAACATTTTGCCTATCATTTTATATCACTGTTGTTGACCTTCCAGATCTAGACAGATCTCTAACATGTCCAGCGTCTTCAAATTTGCGTACTAATGTGCATACTGTAGATGAAGTTATTGGTTGTTCTGGATACTTGGCCTTGAATACATGACATACTTCATCATAACTACGGATCCTATCTCCATATCCAACCATAATTAGGATTTCAATTCTTTGTTTCTCATTTAAACACAACACCATCGCAATGTAAAGTTATGGTATTTGTAACTGTCACATTGATATGAGGCACTATTGCATTCGCTAACTGTCGTCTTCAAAACAATACCTACATAGCCGCTGTGATCGGGTGTGCCTACCAAATTTCACTGTTCGCTCATAAGTTTGTGATACCTACTTTTGTTATTAATTCAAACCATGCCCATTCCAATCGTTGGCTTTTTTTCGCACCTGTCAAAGTAAAGTAGGCCAAACCCTATATCGACGCATTTCCCTTCAAAAGGGCTATACATTTATGCTTAAAAAATTAGGTAGTGCTATTTAAAAAAATGTCGATGACGTCATAGGTTTATGAAAGATAACGCAAAAAAGGTTTAACCAACGTGACAAAACGACAATTCCTATTTACTAATTGACAGGTCTTAGCGTTTTTGTGAAAACTCAACACAAAGTAAAATACGTTACTTCTGGGACGCACTGTATAAAATTTGACATTTGTAGCTTTTTGATTTTCAAATTACAGGCGCTTTTTCATATTTTTTAGAAACTTTAAGGAGCTGTATCTCGTAAGGGATGAACATTTTACTAAGGTTGTTTTCATGCAAAATGTGTTCTTTTCAGCGATAGATTCACTGGTATCAATTGTGTTACTCCTTTTGAAAACATCCTGTATATTATTACAGTTATTTTTTTAACATGCTCATATTTTTCTAGATTTCCACTGTTTACGGCCATCCATAAAATTTGTACTGGACAGTTAACACCATCAGATTTTATAGATTGTATCAGGAACCACCCTGAGCATATGTAAGTGAAATACATATTTTTGTACCTCGCATGAATTTTAGAAGGGTACTTAAACTTGTTACAATGAAATTATAGTGTAGTGTAGTATAATGTTATATCATTTTATTTTATTTTAAAGGTATATTTTTATAAAATACAGGGGAAATTTTGACAGTTAAAACTAGTATTGGTTTATTTTGATTGCTCTAAATTTAAAATTTTCCTTAAAAATTTAATTTTCTCAAGTTTAAGAATTTCTTCTAGAAAGTAAAAACCTATATAGATCATTTTATGCATGTAGAATTCTCAGTTTGAAATATGAGCACCTTATTTTTTCTAACAAGGAACTAGTTACCATATCAACGTAGTTGTAGTACAAACTTTTAAACTAATAATTTTATCTTTTACTGTGAAAGACAAAATATGTAGTTGAAATTATAATATGGTGTAGTATATGTGCCTTAGGCGGGTGTGTTGTGGCTTCTGTTTAATAAATGGCTAAAAGTAATATTACCTAAACTAATATAGATACAGGCAGTATGAATTTTAAGAGAAAGAAGACAAAATTAATAATAAAATTTATAAATATACTTAAGACTGTTAGCCATTTATTAACTTCCATTTTAAGTTGTATATAACTACTAAAACCTAGAGGGAAATGTATACTTACTTGTAATTTATTTGAAATATTTTGGGTATAAAGTTCAATAAGGTCATCAATGCATAAAAATAAGTGGAAATCAGTAATAAATATTGTTGTAAGTGGCAAAAAGGTGGTAGAGTTGAATTAAACGTTTTTTTTTTTTTTTTGACAATAAGAAAAGAGAAATTATGTAGTAATTTATTTTGATATACATTTTGTTATATGACAAATCTTCTGATTTACTTAGTTTCACTTTACACTTGTTAATTTGGAATTAATTCTTCAAGTACCTAGCTTATTTGTGAGTGTATAATCATCGATTTTATATTGAAACACATTAAAAAAATTGTTTTATCACAAATTATCAGATATCCAACACTTAACACAGAGCAATAATAGTATGTTTAGCTTAAAATTTTTCTTATAGAATACATTTATATATCAGTTCGTTGCTACCATTTTATTTCCTCTATTTCACTACATGCTTTCTCTTTTTCTAGAAAAAAAATACCATGTTTATATTCAAATAAACCTATGTGTTGCAACCTTTTTGCCACTAACTGCAGAATGACTGTCATGCAATAAATAAAGTTATAATTTTTTTCTCACAATCAAACAATCTCATATATATGATCAGTTTACAAAAATATTAATAATATTTGATTATACAACTTTTAATTTTTGCTAGTCAAATCGTTTTAAAGAAAAAAATGTGATTTAATATTAATCTAACATAAGGAAATAAAATCTAGATTTTATGTGGCAATAACAAGACACAACCACATCTGATTATATTCCTTAAATATTTTTTTTCTTGACTTTTTAATACGCACTTGAACCGAAATATCTATAGATGAGAATTAAGGCAAGCTATCTTAACTAAGGTGGGTCCAGATTTTTTTTTTGTTATGTTTGTATCATATTGTAATGTGTCGAATCATTTATACAAGAAGATGCATTACATTTAATTTTGATATCAATTTTGATATGTTTTGGTGCGATCCTTCTATATTGATATCTATACTATGAATAAACATTATAGAAAATAATGCCAAAAATTGTTATAAAGAATGAAAATTTTATTAAATAGTTATCTATTATAATATTTATATAAAAAAAAATTGTAAAAAGCTTTAAACAACTACAAAATAATATAAAAAAATGTTTATCATAGAATTGCAATACTTTCCTGAAATTTTAATCTCTTGAACAAACATATCATTTTTGGTAATAGGTTGTTAATTGCAATCATAGGTACTGTCAAGTACATAAAAATATATAATCAAATTTCTAAAAAAAATAGATGTTTAATAACAGTTGTGTTTTATAAACACTAAATGTAGTGAGTTTATATATTTGGGTTTATTTTTGGGTAGGTACAAGTAATGCATGTTTATTTGGGTTTATTTTTGGATACAAGTAATGCATTTAGTAGGTCACATTCAGTATAGGTCTCATGCAATAATCATTTCTTAGTACAGGGTGTTACACTTTTCCACCGACAAAATTGTACAGGGGATTCTCTAATAAAAAATAAGAAAATAATTGATATAAACAAATGTATCATTTTTGACATACAGCTTTAAATTTTGTATTAATTTTTTAGTTATCTTTATTTGTTTAACTTGTTTACCAATGGTTAGTTTATTTAAAACTAATCAATAAACTGCCTAAAAAAAAGTAACCACTCATATCAGATTTTCATGTATACCATCCAAACTGTTATAGTCTTTCCGAAGTCAGTTGAATATGTAAAAAAACGCCTGGCAATAAAATTTAATGACTCATAGGCATCCCTAAAAAAGTTTTCTGCTAAAGGTAAAAAATAATAATAATTTGTATATAATGTGTAGAAATTTTCCATTATATCTTCATTTGGTCAACAACATATTTTAATTATTTATATCCTCAAACAATTTTATTATATTGATGGTAAATTTCGTTTTGTTCCGTTTCAAAAGGTCTCCAAAATGCCATGTTGTAATAATATTAGTAAACAAAATATCCCTCTTATTTCTGCCTTTCGCAATTGTAATATGAATGATTAATAGATGTCTATAATAAATTAAAATTACCTGAATCACGCCAAATTCCGCATTGCTGCACTGCACTGCTGGGCAATTTGTCAACCACTTGTCAACAGCTGAGATTTATTGCCTAGTGGCCCAATGCAGCTGTATTTGTTTTCCTTTGCCCGCACTCACATTGTCCAACTGGGCGTATACATTTCTACCACCTCCACGTTTAATTTGACCAGACCTGTATATGGGTATGGCTAAATAAATATGGGAACAAGTTTTTCAAATATTTCAATGCCGAGTTGCTGCGTCAGCGACCGAACCTGGTACATACTGACAACCTCTTGGTTCTTCAATTGATATCGGAAAGACTATAAAGACGAATCAATTTGTAAGGCCAAAAAGTTAAACGATGAAATAGAGACGATTTTTCTCAATAGAAATTAGTATCGTCACAATAAAAAAATTTAGAGGGATTTAGTGCATCATGATTCCATAAAGAGAATCATTCTTTAAATTAAAACTTGCAAACTAAGAAAAAAATAACAACAGCTTTTGGGGACTCGCCTTCATATGTACTTTTTAATTATTTTTTATTAGAGCGTAATATATATTTTAATAATGTAATAATAAAACTAGTCTCAAGCTCATCATGATGAATCACAGTTTACTTTGGAATGCATAGAAAGATAAAAGCTAAATGTACATCCAACACAAAGCATATATCAGCTGCAGAAAAACATCTTTCTAGGCTCTGGTTGTATTTGATTATCCTTTTCTTTACTCACACATGGTGTACAATATCTGCTCGTTGCCCAATTTTGTTTTGCTCCATTAGATGGTCAAATTTTTATGATCTCAAAGAGAGATTTCACTATATGTAAGAATTCCCAATAAAACATTTAAATACTGATTGATACAGTAACTCTGATTGCAATTATATAATATATATCTTCAAGGCACTTGTACTTTATTGCATGCTTATTAGTACTGGAATTCATCTACAAAATAATTTAGGTGACTAAACTGTTAGTTCGTTTAGCAATGCCGTACTGTTATTTTGTATAATTGTATAATTTTGTGGATTACTATATTAACATACACTTTATATCAGATGTTATTGTTATCAAAAATTTTATTAAGCATTTGATTGCAAAAATGTAATTGTATTTAATTAAAATCATCTTGTGTAAAGAAAAGCGATCTAATAACAGAGTTGTTAAGATCTCTAAGACATGGTTAATGTTAGTGTCATAGCGTACTTTTATTCAGAACAATAATGATCCAATTTAACGCTCCTCATTTAAAAAGCAATTGGTACTAATTTTTACAGCTTTTATTTAGAACCATTTGAAAATGGATCAAAAAATTGTTTTATTTTGTTATTTTTATTACCATGTTATTTAAAGTCATTAGGTTTTTATTAGGACCATATGAAATCAAAATAAATAACTATTGGTTTTTAGCTGATTTGAATTGAAAATAATGGAAAGTTATTTGTTGATATTTATTTTTCTGTTGTTAATTTTAGTACCATGATTGTTGAAGTTGTTATTTGTTTTATCGTGTTAATTTTTTTTTGTTGCCATACCATGTAAAATTGTTTTTTATTTATGAAATAAAAAACCACATATTTTAAATCTCAAATACTCACCTATTTGTTTTCTTTTCCAGATATATTCCCAAACATATAACATTCAGTGACTAACCTCCAGTTGTGATTATTCTCCCTTCCAAAATCCTAACCCTTATAGAAATGTGCTATTAACATTCTAAAATAGATAAGGAAAGTGGTAATTAAAATTAAAATAGTATATATTAATTAAAGTTAATATTAGTTATTATTAATGGTGAAATTATGTGGATCCTATATGTTTTAAAACACTTATTGCTTCATTTAGGGTGCTTTAGTTTTTCAAAATTATACAGTTAAGACTGTAATCCATTTCTTTTACTTTACATTACATGAATATTTTCTTTGGCGATTTGTAGTCAACATGACAAATACCACTTATAAACATTTATAGAATCTTGAAGAGTTGCAATATACATTTTTTTTATAACTAACTGACAACAAACGGGTGTTTTTATTATTTTTCACAAAATTTGAAATTTCGTCATTTTATAATGTAGAATAATTTTAGTTTATAAAGCTTTATTTAAATTTATTAAGATATTGTTTCAGTTTCTGAAAACATAAAATTAGCCTGTTACTGACACTAGCAATTACAGTTGGCAAACAATAGAGTTTCTTTATAATAATCAGCAGGGTCAGTAATTTCATCATGCATTTCTTCTTCAGGCACTTCCAAAGTTCCAAAGCCTCGATTTTTAAACTAAAATGGAATCTATTAATTTAA